CCCCCCCCCCCCCCCCAACCCACGCTGCGGTTGCCACGTAGGTTCTGGACTTTGTGGACTAAATAAGGTCTTAGGACTCCGGGCTCAGGAGCGAGCTGATGCATCCATCCATGGATGCAGGAGTCCGATTTTTGTCACTGCAGAAAGTGGTTGTTTTAACGGATGGCTGAAGAGTGAGGTGGTTGAGGAATCTTCTCATCGGGCCGCTGCCTGCTTTTGCTTGCACAATCGCTGCCTAAGGCTTCACTTCACGCCTGCGATTTTGGTGTAGTTAACTACCTGGTGGGCAGCGGACTGCTCTTGTTGGTAGATGGAAAAGGATTTGTACTCTCTCAATATGTTTACGTGACCTTCCTCGCGATGCTGATCCGATCTTCTTGGGCTGGATTGGATTTGTTTGAACCATGTGTGTAACCACGCAAATGAACTCACCGCTACGGGGACACGATCCAGGTGCGTTAAACTATTACTGGTTACTGCGGGATGGGACAGAGAGAACTCTCAACATGCCGTAACTAACTAACTAATCCTTTTCAAGCTAGTTAGCACAGCTAGGTGCATGTGGAATTGTCCGAATCATTGAAGGCGGAACAAATGAGAGGTTTACAGAGGCGCTGCTCAGGGAGGTGCAGTAGCAAATCAACATGGAAAGGAAAAAAGGTTTGGAGCCAAAATGGCGGGTGCATCCATTCATTTAATTATTCAATTTCAATTCGTCCTCGTTCGATCCATATTAACTCCGTACTCTATCACAACTCTGTGTCGACTCTGCGAGTTCAATCTCTCCTGCCAACCTGCTAAGGGATGTGCAAATACTGCCAATTGAGAGTTTACGCTTTCAGCAGGGGAAACCCAAGCTTAAAGTTCTAAAGTAGTTTGAAGACGCGAGCTTCTGCCTTGAAGTTCCATGCTCAAAAACTGCAGCCTCACAGGAACAGCTAAGAGTTCCTTTCCTCCCTGAAGTGTGTCCTCTCCCCTCCTGAATCTAGACGGGGGGTCTCCTGTTTTGCGACCCCATACTTTGGCTACGGTGCAACAGTAGTCGTCGTTCAACACGGTGGCATCGCCGTCGAGCTGCCACTGAAGTTCATTCGTGGTAACGACGACGACACCCAAGCGAGCCGTCAAAGCCTCCAGCATGAAGTAGATGTCTACACGCGGCTGCCGGCTGCAGAATTGCTATGGCGTTGTGAGTTGCCTTGGCTTCCCTGAAGACTGACTGCATTGAAATGGAGTCGATGAAGAATGGAGATCTTGCGGCACATCTGAAGGCCCAGCACCCAACTCGCTCTCTTCAGCTCTCATGATTTCGGCAAATGGTGAGTACCCTTGCGCGCATACACGACAGTCATGTTTTCGTGGAGGATACTGCTAGGAAGAATTTCCTTCTCAGCGATGATCTCTCTGTTAAACTCTGTGACTTCACGGAGGCGACAAATTCTGCCTCTTGATGCTGATATGAAGGCTGCTGGTGATTGTGGTTACTCAATTTACACGGACATTGGCCAATTGGATGCTACGATATATCAGGTTATAACCGGTCCATGTTGCGAATTTTGACCTGTTTACGGATCAACTACCCGGATCTGCCATCGACGCCTGGCCAGGACGGGAAATTCTCCCCTAAGATATTTGGCATGGTTTGATGATTGAACAGCGTTGGACTAAGACTGCATTCCAAAATGCCAAAAGTCTGGTAGCTGAGTTGGAGCTGGTCTCTTTGGACGATCCTCTCGATCACGGAAAGGGGGATGCGTGAAAACTCACCAGGTCGCGGTGGACCCCGAAAAGCAGTTTTATGACTGTGGCTGGAAGCGACTCCATATATCACTGCTCTTTGCGATTGATGTCAACAATGTAGAACTGATGTGGACTTCTACCGCTTCATATATGTTTCCCTCCCTGGCTGCAGTACAACTCGCTCTGTTTCGCTTGCGTTTCTTCTCAAGCGGGGTTTCTACACAGCCTCCAGGCGGGATCTGTGGGTTGCTAGATGAAGAATTGAGGTGTTGAGATAGGAGGGGATCCAGTCGGTTGTCCAATATGTGCACTACGCCCAATCATGGCATGCCAAAAAGGGTTCCTTAGCAAACTAATAACAAACATATCCGTCAGCAAAGGCGGAAGTTGGGAGACATTAGAAGTAGCATGCTCACGTACCACTCCCTGTTTGCCTTTTTTTTTTTTTTTTTTTAGTATTATTTGTTTTTTTTTATACTGATGGCAGTGTGCTTGTCACTGAGGGCACACCACCACGTAGGCTTGCTTCCACTCCCAATTCCGCGTTGTTGATATAGCGAACTCAGTGTATCTAGGTGTGATATTGAGGCAGGTATTCCCGGACACTTTGGGAGTAGACTTGCGCAATTCTTCCACCGTGCTGGTAGACTAACAAGCGAACACCTGAGCGCGGTTCATCCAGAAAACAACCCCGTATTCACACTTAGATGAAGTCCTGGATAGTGCCATTGTGCATCCACGCTATCTGGTGAGGTCTCCGACACCGCAAAGGGATGATGCTGCACTCAATGGTAATGTCTTTTGACAGCGGACGTATAGTTTCACGTAACTTCCAAACTGCAGAAGTAAATAGAAGAGACCACACACTCTCTCAGACTTTTATGTCCCAGGACAAGTGGGAAGAAGAGTCCTGACGATACCAGACCAGCCTACCTACCGTAGGTACCCCTTCCAGCGGAACCATATTGGCCATCCAAAGACAAATCTCATTCGAAAACAGAGCTTCACCCCTCCCCCTGTCCCTCCAATCTCAACACCATCCTTACACCCCTCCTCCCAGGCCCATAATAGTCCTCCACCGCCTCCATCTCCATAAACCCACAGCCCTTATACAACCTCCTGGCCGCCTCCCTCTTCTCGTCCACCCACAACTGCACAGCCACACACCCCCTCAGCCGCTCCTCAATCACATAGACCAGTAATTGCCTTCCAATCCCTCGATTGCGGAATGGCTCTGCCACGCATATTTTGTGGAGGAGGGCCGTGGACCCCTGGCGGACATAGAGGGCGTAGGCGATTATGGGGTTGTATGCCGGGGCTTTGGTGTTTGATGTGGCACTGGTACTGGTTACGGTCGCATATAAAATGCGAGTATTTGGCTTCTTACGCCAGAGACTTTGGTCGGAGAAGTCGAACGCTTCGGAGGCCGGGAAGGTTTTGCGTTCTAAGCGGTTGATCTGAGAGAGGGTTTCGAGGGCGATGTGTTTTTGGGGAATGGAATGGAGGGTGTGGATGGTGACGGGAGTCATTATCATAAAATGAATATCTCTTTATAAGATATTCCCATACCCGTAGATAGACGAAATGCAGTGGTTGGACTCCGAGCGCTCTTTAACGGGTCGCTATTATAATATCAGATCGCCAGGACATTAAAAGACAGGAACTTATTTAAATCTTGGGCTCTAGACCACTATTGGTGTTTGTTAAAATATTTAGGGCCTTTGGTTAAGAGGCCTAAGGCGTGCTCGCCGAAATTCCAGTTGCAATTAATTGTACGCAGGGCTTACAGTTTATAGACTTTGGCCTAAATATTTAAATATCTTCTTGGGGTGTTGACTTTTCGCTAAATAAATAAGTATTTATTTAATCAAGAAGTGCAAGTCAAAACTTCCGATAGCAACCACCTTTCAAGGCAAACAGGTGAGAAGCCCGAGATGAGAAACCTAAAGTAAAACGAAAACAATTAATTTATATAGGTATATATAAGTATATATGACGCTCAGCTCTATTCTCCATATTGATCTTTCAAAAATATCCATTTGGCTCGAGTCAGCTCTGCAGGAGTTCCAACAATTTATTCCGGAGGCGGGACAGAATGAGGCGGGAGGGAGAACCTCAACCACACCCCTTGAATCTCCGATGTCACGGACACCAACGCTCTTTTCGATTTCGTACATCAAGTCCAGGACCAGCTTTGGGTTGGCGAGGTAAACGAAGCCCTTTCAGGACGGACCAGCTCTGCCAATGGGTGTCCTCTGTCCGTCTTGACAAGCTTCCCTGTTAACTTGACAGGACGGGCCTCCGCCATGGCGCGTTTAATGCGGGCTTGAACATGGTTTTCAGCGACGGTGCTACTTGGATGGTCCGCTTCCCTCGTGCAAGGATGGTCAGTGAAGTGACGAATACGCCGACAAGAAGTGGCCATGGAGTTGACCGCCCTGAAGCTCATCGGCAGCAAGACCACGATTCCTGTCCCGAGAGTCCATGTGTAGGGTGCCTAACTAGTTAGTTAACTACCGCGCCAGCAATCCCGGTTGCTCTGGGTCCGTTCATGGTAACGGACTTTATTAGCGGTCTGAGCCTCAGCGACCTTCAGAAGGATCCTAATGCGGAGTGAGTGCCCCACCAGACCAATGAGGGAGGATATCAATGATAGTTAGGTTCAAATTACCTACAGGCAGTTGGTGAATTATCTGCTAGTTACAGCTTTTCAAGCTTGATTTTGACGGTATTGGCAGCCTGCCGCAGCCAGGGTGTGAAGCCCAGGGCGGGCTCTGCACTGCTTCGCCCACTAACATTCAAGGCACATAACTTACCATCCTGCACAATGGAGGAGTTGATACTTTTATTAGTGTGTCGTGCAATTTTTTCATTTCCCGTTCCTCGACGCGGTTTGTTCAAGGGTGCCTTCCCTCAGCTGATGATCTAACTTAAGGTGACCGGAGCCGGGGGTTTACAACGACGATTGAGTATTTTCAATACATCATCGGGCAGGACTGGCAACAGCGCAACCGAACTCGAGTTTTTGGTTTTCATCAATGCCCAAAACAAATACGTGGAGGGCAAAGTCCTAGAAACCTATAATGGCTGACTTGGTTAATTCAATATATGACCGTTGCAAGTTCAAGTTGATATGCGACGACCTTGGCTTGTTGACTGTGATTATCCGAAGCTGGGAGGATCTCACTATTGTCGAATGGCCATGCATCGGACCAGCCCAGCTGTTCGGCTCAGCACCGTAGTGTCTTCTTCAAGATAGGCCCGTGTCAACAGCGCATGGGACTGTGAGGACGACAAGCCGCCTAAGATTAACGCCCGGTACTCCAAGTACCTGGAGATCTTCACACGCATCTTAGAGGAGGAAGTGGCAGAAGTGCCTGGATATGAAGAGCGTGAGCTCTCCAGTCTCGTCAAGTGGTCACAAACCTGTAGCCGCACATGCTTCTTTCATTGGTTTCAACGATCATCGCAGCTTTCCTTATACGCAGCTGCGCCAACACTTCGGCACTGAGTGGGCAAACCGAGACAGGCAATTGGGAATTCAGAAAAGCTTGAACCATTTGCGGCGCGGAAGGTGACGGAGTTCGATGAGTATGAAAAGGCTGGCAGAGGACGGTTCCAATCCCCGTTCCTCGATGGTAGTTAATGATGAAACGAGAAATGGTGATGGGTTTTGCCATGAAGTGACTGCTTTCTCGAGTTGCGAGTTGCAGAACTGATCGAGTCCGCAAGAGACAAAGAGATTGAGACTGTGGTGCCATGGGCTGGTGCTGCTGCTGGCGAAGATGATAATGATTTAAAGTCATTGAATCAGCCTGAAATGTTATGACCCGGTTACGAAGTGATTCCATTGGCATACGTGCCTATCATCATCTATTAATGGAAGAAAACCTGTAGTCGAGAGCTTACATGTATATCCATATTTATATTCAGTATTTCATATCTCAATGCTATCGAACTTGCCTGAATTTGTCATATCAAGGAAACTCTGAGCTCTAATTTTAAAGACTGAACACGGCTGTTGAGATCTTTGTAATTGCTCACACTCCTTGCTCGGCGTTCAGTTTGGTAAATAAACGCGCAACTACAAACGAACGCATCGCAATTCCTCCAAAATTCCGTAAACAATCTCTAATCAAACCTCCAATTCCATTATATATAAACCGGGGACAAAAGGACCCTCCCAGACAATCAAGAAAATAGAATAAAAGCCTCAAAAACTTTTTAGAGGGAAAAGAAAACCATGCCCGCCCAACCCCATCAGCAGCAACAGCAGCAACAGCAAGACGACAAACGACAAGCCGCACGCGAAGTCATCGATATCCTCCATGAAATTTCCACGATTCTGGTACGTCCCCAGCACTATATGTATAGACACGTATATAGCATGTCCCATCCGAAACAAAGAGCTCCATATCGGCAAAAATTAAAATGTTAACGTGTTCGTTTTCGTTTGCTGTTGTCTCCAGAACACCCACCTCGACCGCACAGAGCTATCCCTCTGCGTCTCCCTAATTGAGAATGGAGTAAACCCTGAAGCCCTTGCTGTAAGTAGTTGGCATTTTGCTCGTATGGCAATGGAATCTACCCAATACCCAGTTTTTGCACTTATGTTCTTCTCCTCGAACACATGTTATCTCATCTACGGGGCCCCCTTTTTCTTCTCTCTGCCCTTCCCTCCCACATGTGGAGTGGCCGTGTGGATTATCCCTCTCGCTTTAAATAAAAGATATGGGCGCTGATTTAAATACTCTTGCCGTTACATCACACACACCACGCCGCTTTGGTTAGGTGGTTTGGAGTGTGATGTGATTTCCCCCTAATAATTTTCCGTTCATGACACTGCAGGCTGTCATTAAAGAATTGCGCAAAGAGGCTGCTGCGACACCAGCGGTGGATTAGAGATTTATCCACCAAAAGGAACGAAAGTATGAGGGCTGGTAAAAGGGATGGGGATGGGGATGGGAATGGGGATGGGGATACGGCTTCTTTCTTTTCTTAATTTTTACTTTTTGATTTCTTTTCTGTTTTTGCTATGACGGTCACGAGAAAGATATTTGGTGTTCTATGCCTGCGTGCCCAGCTTTGCAGACCTCTATGGACCGAGAGGGTGACTGAAAACCCATCTGCACGGTTGGGAATTTGAATGTGGGGATCTCTTCGGGAAAATACTATATATGTATATAATTGCAGAGTTTGCTGGTGTTTCTTGAGGGCGTATGGATTTTGCCATTGCGATTGACTGCCTACTTTTTTAACTTCCTCTTTTACTATGTTCGTTTGAGAGACTGCGCTTGGTATGCTATAAGTGAGTTCACCCCGTGAATGTGTGTGAGAGAGAAGGAAATAATATAGCTTTGTTTGAGGTTTTATGGTTAGTTGTAGTCATGAAGGGTAGGAGGGTAGTTAATGCAAAATTCCTCCATTATTCCTGGTGGAACGGATAGATTGCGACAGATTTTATGTATTCACTGCATCCATGTTGGAATAGACAGAGAAGATTCGAGTGAAGGTAGAGGTTCCATTGGTTATCACTTGTTCTCCCATAACACAATGAAAAAAAAAAAAAAAAGCTGGCTTATAAGGCACTTTTCTTGGATATCATAAAGGGGGTAAAAAAAACACTGAAAGGGGGTCTGGCTATGTAGAGGAATGCAAGGCCTAGCCATCATATTGGCATATTTCTCAGATAGACAGGCAGGCAAAGGGCGCAAATGCCACTCGTCAAAGGAAAAATCAAGGTCGTACCCTTTCCTGGCGTGGTAGCGCAAGGAGAGCGACTTGAGACTAAGAAGAGGGAGAACTGTCAAAACAATAAATGATCATAACCAGCATGCAGAAACGGAAAACGAAAATTATACACATAAAGGAAAGGGAAACATTATGACAGCAGAAAAATGAAAACACAACAGCCCTTCCTGGCTAAGGTCCCGCCGCAGGCTTATTGTCCTTTTTGTTATCATTGTCTCCAGCCTTTGGCGGATCGGACCCAATATCCCCCGCCTTAGCTTCAGCTGCGGCCTTCCTCACCTGCTCCGTTTCATCGGGCTTGAGATCCTTATTCTTGATTTCCCTCTCATCGTCACTGTCGCCTAGGCTGAAAGGATCATTGTCTCCAACGGGAGAAGGTTCAACGGCAGAGAGTGGTTGCCATTTACTGGATTTGTTCCCGCCGGTGGACAGCTTGTTGTTGCTCGAGCCGGAGCCTGGACGGTAACTTTCACTGATTTCTTCCGGAGGACCTTCCTGGAAGGAGACCTTTCGTCGATCATGGGATGGGGAGCTTGACTTGAAAAGGTCGGGGTTTGCCAGAGGTCGTGTTGACCGGGGCGGTTCAGCTGTACTTTTGGTTAGATAATCTGCTGTTGTAGTACCTGGCAAAAGTTAAGGCGACATACCTTCGGAATCTCTAAGCTCTAGCGTGGAGAAATCATCACCCAGGACCTGGGGATCCGCATCGTACCTCTCACGATCACCACTTCGCCTGCCATCCCCGCTCCGTTTCATTCGATAGGTTTGGCTCTCTCCGTATCCCTGAGCGTATCCCTGTGTAGGGCGAGGTGGGGTGTTTCCGTACTCATCCTCCTCGTCGCCCTCGAGTTTCTTCTTGAAATTTTGAACCCAGCTGGTAACTTTTGTCTGCGTCTCCAAGAACCCCTTTCGGATATTTTCCTTAATTATAGGCAAATCATCTAGGGAGTGTGACAGACAAATATGAGTTTGATATTTTCATGTAAGGTATAGGTGCAGAGAACCAGACCATACCATCAAAAAAGTTATGCTCTCTATCATCATAAAGTTCATTTGGTTTCAGGCCTGTTTCCCTTGATTGTCGTGGCAAATGAGGTTCATGATCCCATGAGGAGTTGGGGGATCTATAACGCTGGGAAGCTCCACTGTAATGCTCCGCAAGTTGGCGCGCATACATTTCGTCGGCCTCGAGCTGTCGCTGGGTGGGCGAATCCTTCCTGGGCGGCCGCGGGGGCATCATAGGAGGCAGGTCTATTTGCGCGCTGGGGTCCGACATGCCTATCGAAGAAGCAATGCCATTAACTACTAATATCCAGCAAAGGAACAAATACGACGTTGATGTATTCCATACCGAGCAGCGCATGGAATGATCTTTCCACATTCCCATCACTAGCTACCAAAACCGCCTTTATTACACTAGCATCAATGCTAGGAAACACTTCCTTCAAAGTATTTTCGGCCTGTTGCATGGGGCTGAGCGGTCGAGGTGGTTTTGGGGGGGGTTCATCGTTGCTCGGTGTCTGCTGTGAGGATGGTGCGGCGGATGTTTGTGCTGCAACCACGCCAGACTCTTGAGGTTCATCGTCAAAATCCAAAGGCCGAGCTGTAGTTGGAGACTCTGGAGGGTTATTGGGCGAAGCTAGGGCCTTCACAGGCACATTCTACGGTCAATATCAGACCTCTAGATCGGAAGGGGAAACGGTTATGCGGGAGAGGAAAACGGTTCATACATACAGGTTTCTCTCCGTCTGTCATTGTAACTAACTGGAGGCTCAAGTCACGGGCACACCACGCACACAAAAATTGAATGTCGAATAAAGTTGCGAAGGTATCGGAGAGAAAGATATTATTCGAGAAATAGTGAGAATCGCAAGGCAGAGAGATATTTTCCAAGTTCGAGTCCGCGTGTTTACGGGCAAGCAACCACCGACGAACCCTGACAGACGGATTAGATAAGCTCGCAAAGAGCCTGCTGTTGTCAAACTAACTAATTAGATGCTTTAGCCTGATTAGAGTTAGCTCCATACCCAGCCACAGCCGAACGTCGCTCTGCGTGTCAGCCACAGCCGGAGCGCGGAGAAACGGTTAATACCCGTCGCTCAGGCAAGTGCTGAGTCAGCCCGCGACTTTGGTCGAATAACAATTGTTCTTCCGCCCGCGCTGCAACCAACCTAACATCCACCGGCAGAGGACTTCTTTGTATAGCCCCTTATATAGCTCCAAGGTGTCTATGGAGTGCTGTCTGCCGAGAAATATGGATTTCATGCGTATATGCTGACTGCCCTTTCCAGTTGAGATGAATTGGCGCCTTCCAGTCCCTTCTCATCTCAATGGCATCCGATTTTGATCTCACAGCTTCGTTCATCCCGTCGCTGTATAAACCTGCGGCGTTGCTACCAATTGCCCGTCACCGGCAAGCTCTTCTCTACCTTATAGAAACATATCCAGTGACTATTGTTGTGGGCCAGACAGGGAGCGGGAAGACTACCCAATTGCCCCAATTCCTCGACCAAGCAGGATGGTGTTCGGATGGGAAAATAATCGCCATCACTCAGGTATGCTATGCATGAAACTGTTCATGTCGATGTTTGGTTCGCTAAGATTTGTTTTTATCAGCCTCGGCGGGTGGCTGCGACCACAGTCGCAGCTAGAGTGGCCGAAGAGATGCGATGTAAACTTGGTGAAGATGTAGGCTATTCGATCCGGTTCGAGGATGTGACCTCGTCGTCAACACGGATTAAGTTCTTGACGGACGGTTTATTGTTGCGAGAAGCCCTGGTCGACCCGCTACTGTCTCGCTATTCAGTTATTATGGTTGATGAAGCTCATGAACGTTCTATAAGCACTGATATCCTGCTTGGCGTTCTGAAGAAAATCAGAAAACAACGCCCCGAACTACGAATTGTTGTCAGCAGTGCCACACTGCAGGCAGAAGAATTCCTGCGTTTCTTTGCTGGAGACGAATTCAATCCTGAAAGTGAAAATGAGCCCGGCGGCTCTATTGGCAGAATTATCACCATCGAAGGGCGGATGTATCCCGTCGACTGCCTCTTTTTGGAAACTCCCGCAGAAGATTACGTGGAGAGAGCTGTCAAAACCGTATTCGACATTCATACCAGGGAACCGGACGGGGACATCTTGATGTTCCTAACAGGAAGAGAGGAAATCGACACCGTGATCCAGCAAATCTCAGAACGCGCAAATTCATTGCATGCCAAAGCTCAAGCTCTTCTTCCATTACCCCTTTATGCCGGGCTCACCACCGAACAACAGCTCTACGTCTTTGAACCTGCACCCGAGAATACCCGGAAAGTCATCTTGGCCACCAATATTGCTGAAGCCGCCATCACCGTTGATGGCATTGTGTATGTAGTCGATTGTGGTTTTGCGAAACTCCGCGCTTATAATCCAAATACCGGTATAGAGACGTTAACGCCAACCCCCATTTCCAAGGCATCCGCAACACAGCGAGCGGGGCGTGCAGGACGGACCAGGATGGGGAAATGTTTCCGCCTCTACACTGAGCAGTCATATCAATCGCTGCCAGAGGTAACGGTTCCGGAAATCCAACGGTCTAATCTCGCACCCGTGATTCTTCAGCTCAAGGCCCTGGGTATCGACAACATCGTCCGCTTTGACTTCATTTCCTCTCCTCCGTCTGAACTTGTTGTTCGTGGCCTTGAATTACTGTACTCTCTCGGTGCTTTAGATGATTATGCAAAACTCACACGCCCACTCGGGATTCAAATGGCTGAGCTTGCAGTGGAACCGATGCTGGGCAAGGCTCTCCTTGGGGCCGCCTCTTTCGGTTGTCTGAGTGAGATTCTGTCAATTGCTGCAATGACAAGTCTGCAAGGCTCAGTCTGGTTCGAGAAAAACGGAGACAAAAAAGAGGCGGAGAGCTCGCGGCGAAACTTTGCTGTGGAGGAGGGGGACCATCTAACGTACTTGAACGTGTATCAAGCTTTTGTTACCAAGGGGAAGAAAGATGCCAAGTGGTGTCGAAACAATCGTCTCAACTACCGATCTATGGTCAAAGCCGTCAGCATCCGTGCGCAGCTCAAGCGATACCTAGATCGCTTCGGGGTTAAAGTGGATGAATGCCTCTCCTCATCCAGTCCTGCAACACCAGAACAAATCCAGCGCTGCCTCACAACCGGATATTTTGCACATGCAGCGAAGATGCAGCCAGATGGCAGCTTTAAACCCATCAGCGGCGACATAACGCTACACGCACACCCGAGCTCTTTGCTGTTTGTAAGTGAACATTTCCTGCCAAATAATGCTCTTGGGGACTTGATGTTAATGATCCATGGAATCTTTAGAACCGCAAAGCGGATTGGGTTATCTTTCATGAAATTCTACAGACAGGCAGTAAGACATTTATTCGAGATCTTACGAAAATCGAGAAGTCGTGGCTTCTTGAATATGCCCCGGGTTACTACCAAGTTAAAGAGTAAAGTAGGGAGTTCAGCCTGCTCCGTATAACTTATCGTGGTTCAGCGTTTCCGCTCGGATCATTTAGTTAAAGAAATGGGCTAATGAGCCACCAAGTGGAGATTCCAGAGCAACTGTTTATTTTATATTTTATATTTTATATTTTTAAATTTTTTGGTTTCAAAGATTACATTTGGAACATGTAGATATACCACATAGTTTGAATAGGATTCCTAATCCGCGATAACCATTAAATCAAGCCGACTGGATATAGTCTTCAACAGGGACAACCCCTCGCTGTATAAACTTCGGGAAGAACATCGCAATATTTCTGCTAGTCCTGACATCATCAGCACAAATCTCGCCCTCAAACAGAATAAAAGTCAATAAATTCCCCCGTCAATCCCCACCTCCACCCGCTTATTTAGTCTAATGAACACGATATACAACACCTTCCTTTCAATGCTAAAGATAGAATCAACGCAACATGTCCCATCATCATCATCATCACAATCATATCCATGATGACCATGATGATCATCATGACCATCATGAGCACCATGAGCACGACCATTCCTCCGACATCACGCCCGCACTACAATCGAACCTCTACCAGCAAATCGACTTTGATCACATTATCACCTTCAACGAGGCAGAGTCCGAATCCGGCGCGGCGATTGTGAGAAAGACATGGGCGCAGCGGTTGGATGACAAACCGGAGCTGGAGAGTGACGTCGATGAGCAATTGCTCATGTATATCCCGTTCGTCGATCCCCACCCCTTTCTCCTACGTATTTATTCTGCCCTGTGGCTTGTCATAAATGATGCCACACCCTTTTCCACCTCTCCTGGACGCAACCACTCCCTCAGCACCCCGCCCCCACCTCCACCTCCATCTAAAAATAATAAATAAAATAAGACATAGTGAGGTAACTAACGCACAACCCCGCCCCAGCTTCACCGGCCAAACAAAACTGCACTCCCTCCTCCTCTACTCCCCCCCAATCCCCTCCGCCCCCAGAACCCTCAAACTCTTCCGCAACCGCCACGACCTCGACTTCTCCACCGCCGCGGACCTAACCCCCACACAGACCCTCTCCGTCCCCCAAACGCTCACCGGCCCGGACTCAGACGTCCTTGAGATCCCCCTTAACAGAGCGCAGTTCAACAATACGACGTCCATCACGCTTTTTTTTGAGGATAACTGGAGTCAGGGAGAGGAGGAGGTGACTCGGGTTTCGTACGTGGGGTTTAAGGGGCAGCATATGGCGCTGAATAGGGAGCCTGTTACGTTTTTGTATGAGGCTGCGGCGAATCCGAGGGATCATGTTGCTATCCAGGGGGTGCAGGGAGTTGGGAGGACAATTGGGCCCGGGAAATGAAAGAGGCGGTTTTGTTAATTTAGTTGTTATGGAGGGGATAGAAGTTATGGCTGTGATGATGCTATGTGATATATGACTTCTACATTTGGGGATATCTTGTTTTCTCTTGTATTTGTTATTGCGAGACTGATTGATGATGGCTGTTTAGATATCACTTGGAATTTTCTTTGTTTGTCCTTTTCTGCTCTTGAAGCTATTAGTTGATGTTACCCATTCCTTTGCCAATAAAAATTCCATATATAATATGCTGATTGCTTGTGATGGCCATCATTAAATCATCCAACACTATTTGAGGTATTGGAGCAGATCCTTGAAATGAAAAATGCAAATATAAAAAGATAAATAGAACCGAGATCCTGTCACGCGCCTCAGCACAAAAATAGAGGTGAGAAGACTGTAAAATACAATAATCCAATGGTAAACACGCCCAGCTCTATATAATAGATATATAAATAACCACCTGGGAATACGAAAGGTGACGTATATCATCTAACGCCTGTATGCAATGACTATACACCCAAAAAAAAAAAAAAAAAAAAAAAAAAATTTGGTCATGCCTCCATCGCTATAGCTGCTCTTGCCCGAGCCTTAGCACGTTGCTTCTCCTTTTCCCGTTTCTGCTGTTCTGTCTCTTCAGGCAGCTCTGACGTGGGAACATCCGGAAGACGGACGGGCCCAGAGATCTCCTGCTCCATCGACTCGAGCTCATCTTCTACCTCGTCCTCATCTTGATTGGACATTTGGCCACCTAACATGCGGCTAACTTCCTGTAAAATCCCAACATAGGGTTAGCAAAACAGAACCACATGAGAGCCAAAAAAGATAATCTCTGCATGACAAGAAAATCAAGCATATATATAAACAAACCTCCTGATACGCCCTGGCCTCCTCGGATTCACCCATAAGCTTCTCCACCCCCTCTAACCCGCCCATCTCCCTATGGATCGTCTGCAGCACCTTCGTCCCCTGCCTCAAGCCAAACAGCACGTCTTTCTCCACCAGTGCAAACTCGACACTACCAGCTAACCGCTCGAGTTGGTCCAGTTGCGCATCTGTCTTGGCCAGAAGAGACTGTTGGTATTTCTTGCGGCGGAGAGCGAGCAGGGCGCGTGCCCGGTCGTTGCGAGCTAGACATTCCCGAGCGATTTGGGTTTCGCGGTCTGTAAGGATTGTGATGCGCTTTTGGTATTGGTGAAGTTTGTCGCGTTGGTTTTTTAGGTTGAGGATTGCTCTGTTAGAGGGTTGTGGGGGAGCGGTTAGCTGGATTTGCTGGATTTATCTATCGGGAGTAATAGGGATGTTGCAGCCTGGATTTTATCTTCCTTGGGATATGCGGATGGGAAGTCCTGAACGGATATGGGGTCGTTGTGGTTGGGCCAAACGTACCTATCCTGAGCGGAGATTTTATGCGAACTGGGGGTGTTGCCCATTGTTGTCGCATTCTCCTTGCTGTGAAGGAGGAATAGGGGAATGTTGATCAAAGCGAAGTCCGCTTGAGGAAGTGGTCGATGATGACATATCTTGCTCAGGGGTACCTAATAATGGGGTGGTTATACGAATACTTGTACGGTACAGTATGAAACACTAGACTGATAAGATAAGATCTTTACTCATGTGATTTCACATTCGAAGATCCCTCAAATAACATATTACACCCACACTTTCCAAGGGTTGATTGGGATAGACAAAGGAAAAAGTGAAGATATAATTTGCATGACAAAATTTCCTGCTACTTCATTGGGATGCGAACTTTCAACCTTCCATTAGGCGCGGAGAGCAACTTCTCCAATCAAGTCACATGACCTTCAATACCGGGCTATTGTTTTTCCACGCTGCAAAATTCCCGGTTGGACTTAACAAATTTATTGCGGCTTTGCGGCGGACGACGACGAGCTCTCCGGGAGAAAAATAAGGAGAGTGAGTATAGGCGGCGGCTTCGATCCTTGCGGGATGGCTCCCAGAAACCGCAGTGGCAGGCCAACCCTGGGACACGGTCTGGATAAAGAGGTACGCTCATATACGCTGGGTCACTCGGATAAAATCATTTATGGTCCCCATGCGAAAAAAAACAGGCAGGATGCTGATTCGACCCGTCTATCGCAAATATAGGTATACCAGATAGTACGCAAGATTGCGGACGACCTGCAATTGGAAGGAGAAAATGTCCGCTTAACTCCACCATTCGTCTACGATCGGATTAAACGGTCAAATTCCAGTCTCAACCGCAGAGGGAAGAAGTTGTTGGAAGACAGTATCGAAAGGGTGTTGGAAGTTGTGAAAACTGATGTGCTGGGTGATGAGGAATCAGATTCGGTTGAGGAGGATTTTGAAGGGCTGGAAGAGAATAATGTTGTGGTAGGCTTCCACCCGCCCGGGATCCCAGGCTTGGGGTCTATTTTCTATCTCTAAATCAAATCTAGCATGGTTGTAGCTAACCCGACATAGGCCTCTAATGGTATGAATAAGAGTATCGTTGGGATGTGGGGGGCAAAATCAAAGACTTCAGCTATCGTTAAAAAATCAGCGGATGCGTCAGGAGTTGAATCGGCTTCACCAATTCGCACTACAGTCACGCTAAATAAACGGCGACAGGCCGGAGGAGAGTCGCACCCAAAGAGGCGGAAAGCTGAAAGCAGCATTGACAGGTCGCCTCCTTCACACGTTAGCTTGGCAGATCTAGGTGGAGTGGACGATGTAATCCAAGAGCTGGAAGACCTCATCGTCCTCCCAATGACACGCCCTCAAGTCTATTCTTCATCCAAAGTGCAACCTCCCCGAGGGGTGTTGCTTCACGGTCCTCCTGGTTGCGGTAAAACCATGATTGCCAACGCCTTTGCAGCGGAACTGGGTGTGCCGTTTATCGCAATATCCGCTCCGTCTATAGTCTCTGGTATGTCAGGAGAATCCGAAAAGGCACTACGAGAGCACTTCGAAGAAGCAAAGAAGGTCGCACCTTGCCTCATTTTCATCGATGAAATCGACGCAATCACTCCTAAACGTGAGAGTGCCCAAAGAGAAATGGAAAAGCGCATCGTTGCCCAGCTGCTTACCTGCATGGATGACTTGGCATTGGAGAAAACGGACGGGAAGCCTGTTATCGTCCTAGCCGCTACCAACCGTCCGGACAGCCTGGATGCAGCACTCCGGCGAGGTGGGAGATTTGACAAGGAGATCAATCTTACCGTTCCTAGCGAGCCTGTGAGAGAACAAATCCTGCGTGTTCTAACAAAGGATATGAATCTCGCAGACGACTTGGACTTTAAACTCCTGGCAAAAAGAACTCCCGGATTCGTCGGGGCTGATCTAAACGACCTCGTATCCACTGCCGGATCGGCTGCCATAAAACGATACATCGAACTCCTTAAATCACACACAGGCGATGAAATGGAGATCGAAGATACAGCACGGGGTGATGATGACAACAAAATCAGCCCCAAAATCCGCGAACTACGCCGTCTCATAAAACATGCCCGTGAAACCCCTCTGGACTCCGAATCTCAAACAATCTCCGTCTCCAACGCCGACTTCTTCACTGCTCTCCCCAAGATCCAACCCTCCTCCAAACGCGAAGGCTTCGCCACCATCCCAGACACAACGTGGGCAGACATCGGCGCCCTAGGCGGCGTCCGGGACGAACTGTCCACTGCCATCGTCGAACCAATCCGCAACCCAGAGATCTATGCTCGCGTCGGCATCACCGCACCCACAGGCGTCCTACTCTGGGGTCCGCCAGGTTGCGGAAAGACATTACTCGCCAAAGCCGTCGCCAATGAGTCCCGTGCAAACTTCATCAGTGTCAAGGGCCCTGAGCTGCTGAACAAATTCGTCGGAGAGTCCGAACGCGCCGTTCGCCAGGTATTCGTGCGCGCCCGATCATCCGTCCCCTGCGTCATATTCTTCGATGAACTTGATGCCCTCGTGCCCCGTCGCGACGATACGCTCTCGGAAGCTTCTGCACGTGTTGTAAATACGCTTCTCACTGAGCTTGATGGGCTGGGGAGCGCGAGGCAGGGTATATATGTCATTGCGGCTACTAATCGGCCGGATATCATTGATCCGGCTATGTTAAGGCCCGGCCGGCTGGAGACGTTGCTGTTTGTTAATTTGCCTAGTGCGGATGAGAGGGTGGAGATTTTGCAGACGCTGGTGCGGAATCTGCCGATTGAGTTCTCGGATGAGATGAGGGGTTTGGCGAGGTCGTGTGATGGGTTTAGTGGTGCTGATTTGGGGTCGTTGTTGCGCCGGGCTGGGTATTCGGCTATTAAGAGAAGGGATACGATTCGGTTTCAGGACTTTGTGGTTGCCAAGGCGGGGATTAGACCTAGTGTGTCTGATTTGAAGAGGTATGAGAAGTTGAGGAGGGATTGGGAAGGGGGGAATTTATTATAAATCGTATTTTCTTTCTCTCTTCTTTTTGAACCTTGGGCTCTTCAAATCTTTTGGGTTTGATGGTATGGTTCATATGGCGCCTTTTCTTCTTCATTGGCTTCCGGAGGCCCTACTCCTATGTTCGACCTTTCGTGTCCCCCTAAACCGACTTTGAACATTCAGCAGAGCCGATTCTCACGAGCTGTACTCATCAGTGATGGATATACTCTACGTGTAAATTTTTTTTAAAAAATGTAAGCCTTGGGAAACCCCTGTCTGCAATCAAATACTTCATTCCCAGTCCTCTAAAACTCTTTAATTATAACTATAAAGGGAACAAAAAATATGACGAAAGAACGTGCTTCCTTTGCAAATACTGAACCAATTAACTTCAGAGGTATATGCCATGGTGTAAAAACCAAGAAGATATCCTACATCCACAACCGACACGTCCCATCCGCACCTGCACTGACACACCACGCCTCTTTCGGATGCCAATCCAGATCCAAAACACCCAACTCGCCTGTAACCTTATGGCCCCGAAGGACTTTCAATGGAACAATGCTAGCGTTACTGAGAAGATCACCCGTAACGCTTCCGTGGAAGATTTGCAGGGACCCATCATCACTCGCGTCAGCAAAGAGTGGGTAGTTCGCATGATAACGCACGGCACGGATGGCTTTCTGATGGTAACGGAGCGTCTTATATGGGCGCGGGGAGAGATCCACATCATGCCAGAGGAGGCGTCGATCGTATGAGCCTACGATCAGATTGTCACCGCCAGAAGTGGAGGAGGAGGTTGGGTGGATGTCGAAAGAGGAGATCCACCGGGCACCGGGCTGGAGAATCTTGACGAGGGTTTGCCGGGACAGATCGTATGCGCGGATTGTGCGTTGGTTTGCGACGAAGAGGATGGGTTTGGATGGGTGGAAGTGGGCGGTTTGTGGTGGGCCGCCGCCCTTCAGGCGACGGCGGAATGGGTGCTGGGTAAGGTGTTTCGAAAGGGTGTGGATTGCTATTGCGAGGGAGACGGGAGTAGATGTGCCTGGGCATACGGTCACGAAGTAATCGCCCCGTCGATGCCAGGAGAGAGATTTTGCGATGTAGCCCAGGGAGATAACGGCCTGTACGCCAGAGTCGAGAAGTGAAGATGAAGGACGGGTCCATTGGACCGGTGACGTCTTCGTACTATCTGTTGAGGTTAAGGTTGAGGGGGATGTTTTGGCATATCCCCATCCAGCATCCACAACCTCAAGACTGGCCTTTTCCATTTCTGGATCAAGTACAGGTGGTACCATGAGGAATATACTATCGCCAGCTGCAGCCGCCAGAACCACAGCATCTTTCCCAGGTCTCCATCGGACGACATTTATGGCATCATCGTCACTCAGCTCCACGGACCAAAACTGGCGCCCGGTAAGAATATCCCACACACGCACAGTGCCATCGTCACCGCCGCTCGCAAGCCAAACGCCCGTAGGATCGATGGCCAGAGTTCGGACTCGCCCCTGGTGTCCACGGAATAGAGTAGCGCACGTCGACGGGAAGGGTTTCAGCTCTTCAGGGCTGGGTAACTTGGGAAGCAAACTTTCCGGATCAATATTTAGTTTACTTCGCCTCACTCTGGGGGCCAAATATAAATCAAGACAGCGTTCAAATTTCTCCTTGACAAATGATTCGTACCCGGGAACCTTTCGGAGGGCATCATGATCTGTGGGTAGGTATTCTGTTTCACGATCCTCCGGATCCGTGTTCAGCCAGGCTGACTTCTCCTTTTCATCAGGTAGATATTCTGGTGGTGGATGGTAACTCTCCTCATAACCAGGGGGGGGAAGCTTAGGAGCAGGTATGTGCATCGGATGGTCTGCTCGCGGAGTCTCATTGGCCCAGATATCATATGTCTGTACACCTTCCCCCGCCTCATCTTCCTCAGCTGGCTGCTTGTAGGGAAGAATTCGCCCTTCTCTGATTGCCTTGACCAATTTCATCACGCGCTTGGCCTCATGTTTCGACGGAACAAACCGCCGCTTTGGCTCCGGAGCCGCACTCAGCGGCATAACCTCCAGCTTGCTAGTGAAGTACTCGATAGTTGGCTGGTAAGGGTCATAGCCCTCCTCCGTAATTTCATTCATTTGCACCTTGCGCAGTAATTCTAATTCGTCTTGAGTCAATTCCAAGGGTTTTCCGGTAGCAGGGTCTGTTAAACCTGTAAACCCCTGGGGAAGTTCTATACTATCCAACAATGCATCAAGAGCCTGTCCCTTTGCTGGTCGCATTATTTTTTTCCCGTTAATATTATACCCAATGTGTGGGTACTGGTCGTAAAAGGAGAGCGGGATATTCCCGATAGTATTCGCATTTTCATCAGTTTCAGAGTAATCCGAGTTGTCATCCGGGTTGATTTCATCATACACATATCGTTCGTTTCCATTGGCATCTTTTACTACTCGGTAATTGGGTCTATCATCACTCTCGAAGTCGTCGTCGTCGGTATCGTCCCCGCGAACGATAATGTCAACTTCGCGGCCCGGCCTCGACTTTTTGCCAACGACCTTGGGCTCTATATCTGACGGGACTTCATCGCTGTTAATTTCGTCTTCGCCCTCCTCCTCGTCCTCCTCATCCTCCTCCTCATCGTCGTCACTGTTGAGATCGTCGGCCAATTCTATCTCCGAATCGTCAGAGTGATCGGCGAGGCTTCTGTCCGCTGAATCCAGATTGAGTTCGTTCCCAGAGACCACACCAGGCTCTTCGCCCAGGTCTCTAGTGACAGCTTTGCGCTTCCTGGAACCCTTGGAGCCGTCCATTGCCGACGGTTGAAACCCTTGATGGCCGAATGTCGAGCGGAATGCGACTGTTTATCCTTGGAGGTTGGACCTTCGTCCGACTTTTTTCTTGTTAGTGCGGAGTTATAGATGCCAAGATTTCCGCGCGGCCAGGAGAAATAGTTATCCCGGCGCCTGCTCACGTGCATCGTCTTCGGCAGAACATTTATCCGCATCCCCCCCAGCCAAACGCGGAAAGCAAATACATAAGAGGGATGGATATTTGTTAAGTAATCATCGAAGAAGTTCAGGAAGAGTACGGAGCATTCCACCAGAAAACCCAGCTCTTCGCTACCCCCAAGCCAAAGTGCGCTTTGCTCCAAGTTTGATTCTTCAAATCGAACAGCTGAAAAGAAAAGGTTCGGCTGATGCGGCTCAGGGATTACGGCAGGGTGCGAGGTGTATCATGTTCCCGATTTAGACGTCAACTTTCCCCAATTTGGAAATCCGAGCTCTCATCAGCGTCAGAGCAACCGCCCCAAGGTGTTGACGGTCCCCATCCCTAGGGCCTCCGTCCCTAAGCTTCGGGGCCTTGGGATCTCCATTTTAAACTGGGAGGTGACTTATTGTGGGTTGGCCCCGCTGGTGGATCCCCTCTCACACGGGCACCTTGCAGAACATAACTATATATTTAACCCGTTCTTAATTTAGCCCCCACTCCTTTTTAACTCATAAGGCTTGCTGGAAAGCAAGGAGGCCGATAATTCCAATAATAGGGAGATACCGCAACGGTTGCATTTACCCTTCTCCAGCCTCGGATCTCTGTCAAAATATGGCTAGCAAGCAAATCCATAGCCCATTCCCAGGCGAAACGCAGGAGGACCCAAGTCCTCTCTATCATTCGATTTGACTAATACCGCTAGGTTGTATGTATGTATGCATGTATGTATGTATGTACGATATACGTCCATGAGCAGCCGGAATTTGTGCAAGATGCGAACAAGGGTGTGAGATAACCGTTTCTACCTTCTGCGACTACTGGCGACTCTAAACACTTCTTGGAGAATCCAGAAACTCTTCTAATATAACCAGGTCCACGCTGTTAAGATTATGTCAACCAGGACGATCCCCAAACGTGGCTGATTATTATGACTTATAAAGCAGCCTAGAGGCGAAGAGCCCTAGCGACTTTTTCCCAAAAGCATTGGCGAGAGCCCTTGCTTATGGGAAAAACAACCTTTGGAAATTAGAAAAATGTATATAATCCCCTTGTTCCCTACATCCATTCTTGATCGTGGTTCTTTTTCCCATATGGCGCTCATTGCAGATATTACAACTCACTACGATCGCTTTAGAATGCCACTTTCACGCAACCCATCGACTGGTCCTGCGACAGAATCAGCAGGTCCCAAAAGACATGCTGCCTGTGATGAATGCAGTAATTCTCACATTTCTATTTTCCCGATGTATCTTGAAGTTTTCGTTTTTGCTAACGACTCGGAAACTCCAGGGCAGCGAAAGTTAAAATGTTCTGGCGAAGCTGATGGCTGCAGCCGGTGTGTCAGGCAAAACCTGTATTGCCACTATTCAATCCAAAAACCAATGGGGCGTCCGCCAAAGTCTCGCGTACGCCGGGACGAGGAGCTTACAGCAGCAGCAGCAGCAACAACTCCACCACAATTTTATTCCGGAATAGAGCAATCGCCGCCGTTTTCACTCCCGGACCCATCTCATCTATTATCTGGAGCCGCTCTGCATGCTCCAACCTACAGTTCCTACACGATATCAGCGGGACAATTTGTCACTACCGGCCCGATGTACGGGGAACACGGCCACGCGCATACCTCCGGTCAAATGTCAGCCTCTCTTTATCCAACATTACCAGCTTACCCGCAGACATCTGGTGCGGGGATGCTCTCTCCGCCTTTATCAACGACTTTCTCACCGGCTCCGAATCTTATGCAATCACCCGACGCATTTCGGCAACATCAGCCTCTAGCGCCATGCTCATGCGTATCTTACATGTATCTTTGCCTCAACTCCCTTTCCACGCTTTCTTCTTTCCCACCTTCATCTCAGACCCTCTTCACCCTCTATTCTGCAGCGCGAAACGCCAGGTCCGTTATATACTGCGAAATATGCCCTCAGTCCTTCAGCAGTAGCGTGCAAAACCTCATGGTACTCGGGAGCCTGCTCAACGTTCTCGGAGACACTTGGCTGAAAGTCTCGCAAATGGACGCGGAGCAGTTGGGGAGAGACGTCATCTCCCCATCTTTCATTGCCTCTCTATCGTCAGACCCCAACGAACGGAAGCGAAAGTGGAAGAGGTGGTTGAACCATGTCATTAGACATGCGATAATTGGCAGCGCTGTGACTCCCATGGTTGATGCGGTTCAAAGCGAGAGCCTGGAGGGTCCGAATCTGCTTTCTCTGATTGAAGAGCTGGAGGACCGGCAACGGTGGTGGCATTCCCAACCCAGACCTGACCATCTTGAGTTTCACATGGGGGGGATCAGACAGCCTCACAACTGTCCTCCAGGGGAATCCGCTCAAGCGCATGATACAGAACATCTATGTACCCGGATAGCAAGTAATGCTAGGCGGGTGATAGATCGATTTGCTTTCGACGATGAGGAGATGATGGGATAGTCTCATTTTCTGTCTTTTTTCTTGTTTCCCCTTTCCTTTTCCCTTTTTTTTTTTTTTTTTTTTTTTTTTTGGCCCGGCTCTTCTTGACTTTTCCTACTTCACCTCCTTTCGCCTGTTTCTTCTTTATACATTTCTTTATATTTTTTATTCTTTATTTTGATTTTGTTTGGGCTGTTACTGGAAAGAAATAGATAGTCATTGTTGTGTTCTCCTCTCTCACATTATTCCAGATTTTGCGACTTTGGCATCATAATTTCTCTTCTAGCCTTCCTGTTTTCCTTCTCTCTCTGCTTTTAACTCATTCGCTGATAACCCGCCACGAACATAGAAGGTATGCTGCGTATTTCCCCCCCCTCTTTTTTTTTTTTTTTTTTTTTTTTTTTTTGTTTATTTTCCACCCACTTCTCTCATTTCCCCAGTGGGAATGTCTTTCGCTTTCGCGATCTTAGTCAGCGCTGCGTACAGTAACATAGCGTAGGATAGCACATGTATACAAAATTGAAAACAATGACATGATGAGTGTATGGCTTGCATGAAAAAGAAAATAGGAACAAAGCAATGTTTTCCACGTCGCAGTCGACTCGATGCAAAGACATCCACCGCCAAAGCAGGGTGTTGAACCCCCCCGGGCTGTGTTCAACCCTAACCTTAACTGGGTCCGCCTTTCTCCACCCCCCGCCTCCTCACCCGTAACTACCAATAGCAGGAATATCACCCCAGAGCTTCTACGGCCGTTCGAGAGAGCAAATGCAGCCGCCTGGGCCAGTCATGCAAGTGATCCACATCCATCGGTCGATACTGTGCATCATACATGACAGCGGAAGAGGGATTATTCTCATTGATTGGCCTTCCCCGGTCGTTTTCAGATTACCACGGCGAACCCCCCCTTGGCAGGGAAGCTATCCATAGCCCAAAATCTCGCGTGTGAGAGGGGGGGCACTTGGCGTTTCAACCTGCTTGGTAAAAAGGTCAAAACGTTCGCTGGAACATCTGTGGTGAAGCGTTCTCTAACCCCCCTCTTCCGCCCAGCCTTCCGGCATAACGGAGTTCACTAGCCTTGGGCTTGATTCTCCACCAAATCTCCTCCGTATTCGGATCTTGAACCGAAAACTCTACCAAGAACCCTTCCTGCTGATGGTATGCCGTGATATAGGGGGTGGGCATAGATGACGTTGTTTTGGCCTGCCCTTGACCTGAAGGCTGCCAGGCATCGATCTCGGCAAGGAAACAATCTGATAAACGGAATAGCCAGTCAAATATATCTCCAGAAAATGAGAGGCTCGGCAAATGATGGCGCCATGCCACTTCAAAAACTCCAAGTGACCAATTGGAAGAGCTCCTGGCCGTGGCTGCACCGGGGCAAGACGTTGCCGAGTTTTTCAATTCTACAGCAGATCTTCAGAAGAACCGTGACTGACCATGACAGCCTTAACAGAACTGCTTCTTGCACCCGACTAAATTCGGATTTATCTTCCCTGTTCATCAGATATCTGTTGGGACTTCAGCCTTAGACTCCCTCCCATGTGCTCCTGGGATGTTTGAACCATGATATATTACGATATCGCGTTTGGAACACATCTGGCATCCACTAACCACGAACGACTGCACGCTCCAGGGGAAACGGTTGGCCGCGAAATCTAACCCTGGCAGCCCTAAGAAAGTTACTTGCTCTGACAGGACGTGACATTTATTTTTACGGCCCCCAAACGGCTCAAACCTCCCCATGGAAAGGCACCAGGAGGCCACCCTATCATTGTTATGTTACTTTTTTCCTCCACGGATGCTGACGAGTCGTTCTTATTTCAAAATCATATCTGTTGCTTATTCATTGCTCGCTCTTGATTCACCCCTTCCACCGCCATTGCTAGCATGGTGTTTTATTTAAAGCTGTGTTGTTGTCATTGACGGGCCATTATTGGTTGATGGCTGATAGTTATTACTGGTAAGCGGCTGTGGGAAGGGAGGGCATTTTAACTATGCTTCACGTCCAGGAACTAAGGTTAGATGATAGATCCGGCACTTGTTGAGAGGCCAACTATGGAAATAGCAGCATCTTCAACATCACGATTCATGACAGAGTCCACACAATAAACAACTTTTAGGGATCGCTTGGCTAAGCTTTAGTTTAGTCTGTCTGGGAAATCGTCTCTGCGGTTCCACGTTTCTCAGCCACATCAACTCCCCTGCCAATGTTGATGGGCAATTTAATTGCGATCTGGTCCTATCAAACCCAAAACTAGGCGCGTGCCTCGTTTTGGATGTTACAACAATCTTTACACATACATACACACGCAGTACATGAAGCAGGCAAGAATTTTTATTTATGCCACTATTATTGCAGGCTGATACCTTGATCTTTTGTCATTGCGCACTGCCTCAATCTCACGCTCACGCTCACTCTTACTCTCACTCTCACTTCGACCCATGCATCTTCAGCTCCCTCTAGGATATGCCTAGAAATGTGAAGAAAGCCATGATATTGTTGAGGGGAAAAGTAAGGGATAGTAAGTGAGTAAGTGTCTTAACTTCAGATGACCTAGGAAACCAGATTCTTGACTAACATGGCATTTGCCAGAACTCCCCAACTAGCTAAAATAATATCACCAAACACCACAGCTTTCCTATCAATGGCAGTGGACCAAATTGCAACTATATTGACCGATTGTATGACCTAGGTTGTTTCCATCTGTGAGATTTAAAACCTAAATTTAATTTTAGGGTTCTAGGAGCCCTACGCGGCTGTCATGTTTAAATAATTTAGTTCTGCGGCAACCAGGCTAGCCGCTCGAACGACGGGGGTTGGCATCAATTGAACGGTATTGGGCTGATAGTCCAATAATGCAGTTCAAAAAACTTGAATCATCTCGAGGCTAGAGGGCCTTGTCATGACCTTAACCTCTGTCAATTCAGCAAAGATCATCACTGATGATGGCATATAGCATTCGACATATACGAATGCTCATTTTCCAAACGTCAGCGATGATATGCTGCGGCCTCCAACAAGGTGGGTCGTCATATGAAGTCCAGTGTAAAAAAGAAAATAAACATGGAACACTCTACCTGTTTGAGGTGGCTTAACTAATTTATGGGCCAGCCTGTTTTCTCAGAGCCTCATCCATGGATGCCGGATGCAATAATGGTTGAGAGGAGATCTACCAGACTCCTCAGGGATCAAAGAGTCTTTCTCCGTGGAAAAGTATTCCGGGGTACCGTTTTTGTCGCGGGCCACGGACCGTATGTGTGATCCTGCATACAACTGATTGCAGTCCCAAAGCTCTTTCACACAATGAAGAAAAGAATCATTCTCACAATGGCATTTATAGGAGGTTGGGTGGGACTTGGTTCCCTGCTGTGTTATGAGCTTATTTGAATCTCCCAAGAGCTTTAATATCTGGGCGTGGAGATGTGAGTAAAATCCTCAATTGATTCCTGTTAAAGTTCCCCCAATCGAATTCTGCTACGGGTTTCATTTCGCCATCACTGACTTCTGATTTAGACCGAAAAGGCTAAAGGTTCCAAACAATCCAATACGTCTCGTCAAGAGCCTATTGCCCCGTAAGAAATTAGTGTCCATCTCGAAGCAATTCTTGCCTCCAATATTACATTTAGCATCTACGGACTAACGTTTTAAACATGAGATAATTTAGTTCCAACTCTAATCGAGATCTCCAAAACAAGAAAAAGAAAGCAAGAAAGCAAGAAAGCAAGCGATCATGAAATTCTCCCTTATAGTCCTCAACCTGCTTTCAACCGGTGGTATGGCAGAGCGCCATTTTGCAACACCAAATGTCCACGTGGAGAGAAGCCATTTTGCGCCGCAGGTTCTCATGATAACGGAAGCTGCAAAGATCCAGACCGTGTTAAAATACCATCCGGGCAATACTGCATCTTTTGGCACTGTTAAATTGTGCCGTGAGGAGTGAATCTGCATTATTAAACTTTTTGCCATTCTTTTTTTCACAGTTTCATTTCTCGGTAAATTTGATATATGATGATCTTACCTTTTGTTCCCTGTTAACATTCCTTGCCTTTACCGGGACATGGGATGGACCTGGGATTGGTCTCGCATCCTACTTTTCTATTCTAAAAAAGAATGCCAGGGGGACGTTGTTGGGTGTTCGAAGTGCGGTCTCCATATTTTCAAACGCAGGGTCCAGTGGTATACCGGGTTCTCATTTTCAATTTCCTCACTCAAGGGAGGATGCCAAATGTCGGTGTATAGTATTCAACTGCATGCTGAGGAGAAAATATCCCCTGTTGTAAACCTCCTTTTCCCTCCCCCCTTATCCACATGTGGCTGTGCATGTCTATCTCCTATTTGCCGGAAATCTTGTCGATACAGGTGATGTCCCATGCCGTTTCTGTTAGCATCATTGCCTAAAATAAAAACAAAAATCCCCTCTCCCTTGAAATTAAAAAAAAAAAAAAAAAGGTA